CACGGCCGGCCCTTGCCGGCCGTCCGACAACAACTTCTGAACCAACTGACCTCAAATAAAATGACATGAACACATGAACATATTGACACTGAAAACATGAAGATTTACACAAAGGGTTGAACTTTGGCCGCGGCGGACGCACCGGGCGCTGCCGACGGCGTTGTGCCGTTTCACGACCGAACCTCAAATATTCTCGGCAAATCTAACTTGACTGAATGTGATTAATAATCTACTGAATAAATCTCATGAAAATGCTCAAGAACAAGGAACTTAACATATTGAGCAAGCAAGTACGGCCCGTGGTGCGCTACGTGCGCAACCACGCCACTTTCGGCCGCAACACGCAAACATGATTATTCATCCGAACACTTAAGTTAAACTAAACATGATCTAGCATATAAAGGCTAAATATGCGATGATAGTTCGGAGAAATTTACTTAGAACATAACATGATCGGCACGGCTACGGCTTTAACCACACATAACACGCATGCATGTCTAACTAAAAATTAAACTTAATGAACATGCTAATCTCGGTCAACAACCGCCAGGAGTTACCTCTGATTAAGCCCAAATGACTGATCTTTTCGAACTCCCGTACTCGGCCGTGACCCTCCGCGTGTGTACGACGCCGTGCGGTGACTTGCGGTGCGGCGATGGACCACTACAACACTCGTAGACACTTGCGTACTCCTGACCGATGAGCGATGTATAATAGGCTGAGCTTACTTGTTGCTGAACTTAAGGACTAGAGTATATATATTGGCTGATGATATGCGTGAACATATGCGGTGCTTGGGCGTGGCCTTGCCGTGCGACGATCGCCGTGCGAGGTGCGCTGCTTGCCGTGCGAGGATTAAGCTAAGCTACTTTGCTGAATTTTGTTAAGTGTTGGGAAGTATTAGAGAGGAAGATGCTGAGCGAACTTATGGGAAAAGTGGGAAAATTTCCCAATTTCTTAGGCTTATATATCGAGTAGGCGTGAGAGGTGATGATGATGACCATATGTGGCTTATTATAATCTTCACACTTGGAA